TTGGAATAAAAACTTCGGCTATAATATCGAGTTAGATTATTGGCAATTACTGTGGGACAGGAATAGGAGATTAACATTAGCTACTACTTACAAAGAAAACTTATACAAGATGTTTTACAGGTGGCACCTCCCCCCTATAAGGCTAGCAAAAATAGACAAAAAATCTTCACCATTATGTTGGAAATGTAGGAAAATACCAGGGACTGGGAATGCTCAGAAGCTCGAAAATTTTGGCACTTGATAAAGAGTTGGTTAGAAGAGATACTATCATTAAAAACTGAAGCAAAACCAGAACTCTTTTTATTAGGGATCATTATGGATAAATTCAACAAAGGAGCTTTATATTTAATTCTGCACATTTTAACCGCAGCAAGATTAACATATGCTCAAAACTGAAAAAGACCCACCTGAAGAAGAAATACTAAACAAAATTCTATCCTGTGCGGAAATGGACAGACTGACATTAGAACTCAAAAATAAAACAGAAACAGAGTACTTTGAAATTTGGAATAAAGTGTATAATTGGTTGGATTTAAAGAGGTACGCTGGGACAAAGGCTGATAATTAAGTAGATAACCTAGAAATTCTTATTTTAATATTTGTTATATCAGATAGAACCAAAAGTTATTCAACTAGGATGTACTTTATTGAAAGAATGTGCACTATGTAACAATGTAATAACTTAATGTAAAGTAATATTAATAGTATGGTTTAAACAGGGAAGTTGTATCATGTCCAATGTGTCTTTTTTGTCTTTAATTGTATTATGTTTAATGTGTCTTTTGTGTTTTTTAATTGTATATTCAAAATTTTGTATAAAACGGACATTACAATATTTGAGTACCACCAGTGATTAGCATGATGTCAAAAACTTGATGACTAAAAAAAGGGGGGGGGAGGGAATTTGGGTTTTACTGATTAGATTCATTTGTTTTTATAGAAATGGCTAGTTTATAATATTATGGAAAAGGAAAAAGTTGAGGTTCAATATTAATGCTTCCTTCTAATGCAACAGAGGAAGTCTGTTCTTTTTCCCTTCTCCCCCTCACTTTTCCCCCCTTTTTCCTCCCCAGGGTGTCCTACTATTTGCTTTTAGATTTTTGTATTTTATTCTATAATCTAATAAATTATTATGTAGGAAAAATGGAAAAAAGTAACAGTTTTAATTTCTTTGGTGGCAGATCCTTTGCTGAATCACTTTCCCTTTGCACTGACAAATGTATGATGAATTTATCCATATTTATTAATATGCACCACTACCAGCTAGCTCAGGGGTCTTTAAACTGGGCACTTTTAAGACTTGTGGACTTCAATTCCCAGAATTCCTCAGCCATCAGGGCTGGTTGCAGAATTCTGGGAGTTGAAGTCCACAGGTCTTAAAGTTGCTAAGTATGTAGACCCCTGAGCTAGCTGGTTGGCCCTTCTTCCTCTTTCCCTTCTGAGCTCTTTTCACAGTGTAGTAAGAATGCACACCCCCTCCCAATCCCTTCCCTGTATCCTTAAAGACACAGGAATCAAATGCAAAGCAAAAAAGCTCACAAAATAAAGAAACATATAAACTCTTTTTTTTTTCTTTAAGTTGCCTTAGGTGTGTCATGTGTCACAATGTTACAACTCGAGACTGAAAGGCTCCGGTGAGAAGCTTTAGCCTTAAATTAAGTTTGTTTGCCTTTAAAGAAAATTTTCTAAAAGCCATAGACAGACTCAAAATAAGGGGGTAAAACTAATTACACTTGTTTAAAGGGATTCAACCTATGGAAGTCAACACTTTGGACTCATTGCTAGCCTAAAATACAGACTAACTTATTCCAATAACTAAAACACACAAACCGAGCCTGTGAATTACAAAACGCTGTAAAAACTGTACAAAAACCATTATGACAATCCAATCAAACTGCTAGCTGATCCAGAACTAAATAAACCCACCTCCTTTCCAACATGCCGGCTTTTCATTTCATCAGTGCTGATTGCATTCTCCTGGCTGGAAAAAACAAACCAGAGGACCTTTTCTTCCAGCAACAGCTGTTGCTTCTTCTCTGTCCCTGTTTCCTCCCTGCCTGCTGAGTTCTCCTTCTCTTTCCCTGTTGTCTTTTTTCCCCCTTTCCTGCCCAATCACTTCATTTTATAGTCTCTCCTCTCCTCTGCCCCTCTTTTCTTCAGTTCACCTCCAGCTCTGCGCTGCTTTCAGAAGTGCCAATCAGCTGGAGCCATGCCGGCCCGTGGGGCTTCTGCTGAACCCAGACAGTCCTGCAGCTGCAGCTGCTTCTTCCTTAGGCTTGGGTCGCTTGGGCTCATTGCCCTCCCCTGCTACTCTTCTGTAGGATGGTCGCTACCACCTGCCACGTTGCAAAGTACCACAGGTGGTATGCGTATCACCAGTTGAAAAGCCCTGTCCTAGAGGTTAATGACCCATAATCAATGAAAAACAGATTTATTTTGTTATTAGTTCTATTATTTTAGCAGCAATTTATCATGCTGAAATATATTTGGTTGATCTTTTCATAGTTGAATAAGTCTTTTCAGTATCCACCTTAGACTATATGGAATTGTGGGAAGTCACCCCTCCCCCCCAGAAAGAAATATTTTTGGGAATATTAAAAGGCAGAATATTATATTTCCACAAGGGATCTTAAAGGCAGAAACCATTCCTCCCCAAAGTCTCTCTGCCCCAAACAGAAACCAGGTCTGCAGAAATGCAGATGTGATAATCTTGTCAGAAAGATTGGAGCCAGGAAGCTTGGATTAGAAAGACAAAGATCCGTAGAATTAACAATCCCTCACACACAAAAAATCCAACACAGGACATAGCCATCAGCCACAAACCTAGGGAAGCAGGATATGACCTTTGAGACATAATAGGATTAACCCACCACCACCAGAATACCAGAAAGGCACACTCACACTCAGGTCAAAGTTCATGCCACAGGAACAACTCCAAAAAAAGCTCAAGAAGGTATAAAAACCCAACACTCCATACTACATGTGGTCAGTTTTTACAGATCCATCTTTCTGTCTGGCTCTCCTCTTCAATAAACTACAACCTTCTTTCTAAAGCAGTCTCCATTTTGTTTATTCCCAGCTTGGACTGGACCCTGGTGAAGATTTTTCTTTCAACAGAATCTACCCATAATTGAACTCAGTGAGGATATTTCTATGGAAGCATGTTTATACATTTGCCACAATCTTTATTTTACACACACAGCTCTTAATTTCAAATAAACTGTTTCAGGTAATAAACTAGGAATAAACACACTGTCATTAAAGTTACACATTACATTTAATGTGCTGATTCATGAATTTGGCAATCTCTTTACTGGCTTCTATGACCCGGTGGTACAATAATTAGGAAATGAGAAAAAGAAGAAGTGATACCATCTAAGCATAAGGCCAGATTATATGCACTGTACTTTATTTTATTTTAATTAAAGCATTTATATAGCCACCTATTTTCAGAACAAGGGAGGTGGCTCATATATTAGTTTTCCAGTGAGTAGTTTTCTCTTTGGGCCTTACTATTTTTTTTTTTTCCAGAATTTTTCTCTCTTGCACTGTATGCTCACAATAAACTTGTAAGGCAAAGCTAGAGTCGGCCAAGGCTATCCAGAAGGACTTGCAAATGCCACAGAAGCTGAAATACAGATAGTCCTAAACTGACAGCAGTTCATTTAGTGACCGTTTGAAGTCAGTCAATGCACTGAAAAAAGTGACATATGATTGTTTTTCATATGATGGTTGCAGCATCCCCGTGGTCACCTAATCAAAATTGAGATGATTGGCAACTGGTTCACATGGTTGCAGTGATCAGCTTATGCAGCCTTCTGACAAACAGAATCAATGCGGAAACCAGATTCAATTAAGAACCATGTTACTAACTTAACAACTGCAGTGATTTAACAACTGTGGCAAGATTGGTTGGAAAATGGGGCAAAACTCAGTTAAAAATGTTTCACTTAGCAACAGAAATTTTAGGATGACCTGTAGTTGATTTCCTCCTTTTCTTAAATGCAAAGCACAAGTCATCCCTCACTTCAGCTTTACTTACAGGATACACTGAATCCATGCCTAATAGCGTGCAGTGTAGAAACCCAGGAACCTACAAACTCAGTAGCCGGGATGGGTACAAGATACTTGGGTACCAGCAAATCCCATCACTTGAATAAACTTGGTCAGTATTGAGAAGCTAATGAAGGTCAGAGGCCTGGTACATATTTAGATATCGGTAGTCCTTGACTTACAACCACAATTGAGCCCAAAATTATAATTTTTAAGCGAGACAGTTGTTAAGTGAATTTTGCCCAATTTTACCACCTTTCTTGCCACAGTTGTTAAGTGAATCACTGCAGTTGTTAAGTTAGTAGCATGGCTGTTAAGTGAATCTGGCCTGCCCATTTTGCTTGTCAGGTCGCAAAAGGGGATCACATGACCCAGGGACACAGCAACTGTTGTATGAACCAGTTGCCAAGCATCTGAATTTTGATGACATGGGGGGAATGCTACAAACGTCATGTGTAAAATGGTCATAAGTCACTTTTTTTAGTCCCTTTGTAACTTTGAACAGTCACTAAGTGAACTGTTGTAAGTCGAGGACTTCCTGTAAATGGCTGGGAAAAAAAGCTTAGGCTTTTAGCCAGAGTGGAAAGTCAAAACAGGTTCAAGGGGAAGGCGTGGCAAAGCCCTTGGACCCAGTCTACGCAACCCAGAAGCGGACCTTGATTAATTGCCCTCAAGTTGGTGCCAACTCTGAGCAGCCGCACCCCCGAGATTCTCTCGAGGAGGCCGGGTCTTCAGCGAGGTTAACAAGCTCGGGAAACGCCGGGCTCCCGTTGCAACTCTTCCTCTTCGAGTCGACCCTCCTCTCCACCGCTCTCGGACTCAGCGGGGGCGAAGAGACTAGGTGGGCCCCTCGCTTCTTGCGCCGCCCCTCCCTCCCTCCCTCTCTTCGCCAGGCGGGGCCACCGAGACGTAAGACGGCTGCGCAGGCTGACAGGGCCCATCACGTGGCGGAGGCGTCGTTCTCTTGCTGCTTGCTCAACAGACCCTCCCCGCTTACGTCGCCGTCCTGGACTCTGCCGCGGCTGCTCGTGCTGGTGTCGGTGCTGCTGCTTCGCTCGAGGCGCGCGCGTCTCCCGGTGCAGGTAAAGGCAGCTCCGGGAGGCAGCCGCGGCCGGTCCAGAAAAGCCTGACGTGGTCCCAGCCTCCCGGGGTCCCGTATTTGCAGTGGGTAAGCGGCCCCGTCGCTTCTCGCCCTCGCCTTCCCGGGATAGCTGGTCGGGCGGCCGTGGGAAGCAGCGCGCGGGCGAAGGGCCAGCTTGGAAAGGGTGGGGAAATAGCAGTGGCGGGGATTGGGGCCAGCTTGCCGGAGTTGCTCGGGAAGGAGGCAGCCGAAGGCCTCTTTCTCTCCCTTCCAGCCCGGAGGCGGGAAGATCAGGCTGGGAAGAAACTTAAGGGAGCCACCGCCGTCTGTGAGCCGTGGTCGTCGGTCGTAATGTTAAGCAGGTGATCCTGGCGAAGTGTGGAGCCAGGGAGCGATAATGGCTGGAGAGAGCTGGCAAGCCTGCTGGTCTGGAGCAGGGAGGAGGAACAGGGAGGGGAGGATTGGAGAAGAGCAAGCCGGAAAGGTTAGGTTAGGATCGCCTGCCCCAAATGGAGATCTTTTTAGAGGTTTGGGACATGGCTAGCTGGTCTTTCGCAGATGTCCGCTGCTGGGCAATTAAGGGAGCTGCGGGTGGATGGCGCAGAAGGATGGTTTTCCATTGGGCAAAATTGCTCTTGGCCCCGTGAGTTGTTGCGATAGAGAACAAGGGATGCTGAGGCGAAAGTGGAGGAGATCGTGTGTGAAATTGTTATGGTAGACATGTGGGTATATACTGTACAACCAAGAAAGCAGTTAAAGTGGTAGGACTTGAGTGATGGAATTCTGCTAAAGAGCTGTTGAGATTTGCATGGAGGGAAGTCTCATTGATTTTAATAGTGTTTAGATCACGTGTAAGATTTCCATCCTAAGAAAAGCCACAGAAGTGTGATGGAAGGATAATGTACAGTGGAAGGTGTTTCAGCCAGTAGTTAACTGTATGCCCACAGTTATATGTACATTGCATAATATATGAATTGAGAGCTTATTAATAGCAAAACTTCATATACAACATTGCTCATATGGCTTCTAATGCAACATGGCACTAATTCAGCCATCTGCCCTGTCCTGGAGGATATTATGGTAGGCTGAATTTAGGTAAGCAGCTTTGCCTGAAAGACAGTAATTTGTTTATGGCTCTCTTGTGAATCATCAGTGGAGCCGGATTTGAAATACCCAAAAAATTACAAACAGTATTGTCAAGTTGTCAAAAAGACTAGGAGAATCCCTCACCCACCTGCCATCTTGTTTGAGGATTGTCAGATATCTTTCTCTGTCCAATATTAATGACTTTGCTTTGATCACCAATTTTCTATCAGGTGAAATCTTCAAGTTTGTTTGAAGATATACTTCAATAAATACAAAAGCTTTAATACTCCCCCCCCCTCAATTGACACTATAAATGTGCAGGCCAATGAAGAATATTTTTTTCCTATTCTTTGCTGGTTCATCATGTAAACCAATTGCTCATCTTTGTGCAGTGAAAGATACTACCTATACCTTTGTTGTCAAATAGGAGGTGAGATACAACCAATTTGAAGCAACAAAGTTCTAAATCAAGTAATAATAAAGAAATGTGTATTTCAGGGTAAGACAGGAACTCTTTGCTGTGATCTCTGATGTAGCATTTCCACTGTCAGTTTTCCTGTTTGGCTGTGAGCTGAGACTTGTGCAATTAGGAATATAGCCTGGGATAATACTAGTGGCCTTATGTTATGTTTATATTGGTATTAAAGTACATCTATGGATGATACAAACCTAGTTAGAAGCTGAGTAACTTTCTTTTAGAAAAGTCCTGCATTTAATATTTATTGGCATCTCTTCCTGTTGCCAAAAATATTAAATATTATATACTTAAACAGTATAATATCTGAAGGACAAGTTCCTTATCCCGACACTAGTAAATAACTGTTGATAATAAAATCTTTCAATGCATCACATGTGCCTGAAGTCATTCAAACTAGTAAAACTGAGGTTGCTTTTAAAGATAAGGCTGGGATTAATGTTGTCCAGAGCTCTAGAGAACTGCTAATAGTCACTGGTGCTGAAATAGACGGATTACTGATCTGATTTGGTGGCTGAATTGTGTGCTGTGCTGTAGCCATTTGGTGATAAATTAGGAACAGTGGCTGGCTTTATGCATCATGCTAAGCCAAATCAGGCATGCCAAGTCATGAGGTTTGAATCTAGGTAGAGTAAGATAATTCATTTCTAAGCTTCACAGACTGGCTGACGGGTTTCTATGATTATGAGAACAGAGTTGGCACCTTATCTGGTAACACCTGTTGAGCTGGCAGCTAGTTGTACAAAGACCCAGTTCAAAGACTGGTTTAACTGACTATTATAATAGGCAATAAGCACAAGCAATGATTTAAGCTAATTTGGCTACTCAAATTACATGCCTGTTTTTAATATGGGATATTCTCATATGTTGGTAAGTTCTTATCCTGTTTACAGTGTCTCATTAGAAATTCTGTCATAGTCATTTAAGGCTTCCTTAATCATTATATTTTTAGGTACACGCATATAATGAAAAATAAAGATGTATTTGTGACAGACAGATATTTAAAAATGGGTATATCTACCAAAGTTGAAGTTGACTTATAGCTCCCTAAAGCATAGACATCTAAAATATATAAAACAGCCTTGTAGAATATTGAAAAATGCTGATAGAATCATGCAAAAATATAAGCAGTATAAATTAGCTTTCTTAGGGAAAGTAAAGATGTGTACAATTTTGTCTTTGCCAACTATGCTGAAAATTAATTCTCTTTGCAACTACTAGAATGATTGCAGTATGTTGAGAATTTGACATCTGTTTCTAAACCTTGAACCTTAATTAACCTTAAATTAATGAATTAGAGCCAGTTTGGTCTGATGGTTAAGGTATCAGGCTAGAAACCAGGAGACTGAGTTCTAGGAATGAAAGTTGGCTTGGTGACTTTGGGTTGTCACTTTCCGCATAACCTACCTCACAGGGTTGTTGTGGTCAGGAAAATAGAAGGAAGAAGAAACATTTGGTATGTTCACTGCCTTGAGTTATATATAAAAAATAATAAAGGTGGGAAATAAATAATATTTATTTTGATAAGTTCTTAAACACCCAAAGATTGTTAGGTTGTACTCTTGTGTGCACAAAATGTCTTGTGATCTTTCTGTTGTCCAGCTGTGGCTTTATAAAAGTAAATCAGTTAAAGATTGTGGCCTTTAGTTGCAGATGATGATTGGAAGTAGTAATCAAAATACTGTATAAGTTTGTCCAAGCAAAGAAGCTCATCAGAATACGTTATATTTCTTAAAAGATAACTCCTGGTAATTTCCAGGTATGTAAAGGATTATAGCCTCTTCTCTGATTCATGTACATTACCAGACAAATAATCAGCAGTTATTAGTACATTACCTTTGGGGTTGATGATTCAGAGGTCATGGTGAATTGAAGCAAAATTCCTACATAAGACTCTTGAAAAACAAAGAAAGGGCTAGCATAACAGGAATTGTGATTACAGTTTAACACTGTCCATGGATGATCTGGGATTTGGTATGGAAATAAAGTTCAGCGGGGAACAGGGCACAGGATTCCTGAAAATGGCATGCTCTCCTACACCAAACCCCCGTGTTAGACAGGATTGCCAAACCAACTGGTGTCATCAGATTCTGAGCGCCGGTTTTGCAAAGCACATTCCATGTGGTTGAGGCATCCTCAGTTTCATTCAAATGCTATGTCTTCAAGTTTCCATGTAGCATTTAGAAATGTCTGAAATCCTATTCTTATTCTGTGTATCATCTGTTATACGAAGTGCATTTTTGGTCACTCTGCTATTTCACTGCAGCCTGTCTTCCTCCAGGAAATTGACAGTTTATGCCCATGAGATTTTCAATGGAGGATATTCCTTTTTTGATTCTGCTTTTAGCACTTAAATAAAATGGACACTGTCTTGATTTCATATTGTTTGATTGCAATGTAGCTTAGAAATGAGATTAATCAAGTTTAATCAGGAATGAAAATTCTGTATAGTATTGAATTATTTGTATATGGGATTAATATGGAAATTGCTAATTAATATATGGTGAAATTCAATGTTAAATTCTTCTTCTGTCTTCTAGTCATTTCCTATTAGGCTCTGCGTTTTTGAATATTTCTTTCAAGTTTAGTATTGGTCTCTTTAGCTTTATTAATTACTCTGCTTATTTTTCCTGTAAAGCTATTGTTTCTTCTTTTCCAGTTGACTCAAGCTCCATCTAAATTAATTCACATATGTTTTGTTTATTGAGTAAATGACAGCAGCTGGATTTACACAACACAATAAACTATATTTTGAATAATTAGGCCCATTGCATCTGGCAGATTGTATCCTTCACAAAAGTTTAAATAATAAAGTTATAATTTGATTACAGATGTAACTTCTGGTTAAGCAGTAAGTCTCTATTCCTTTTATCACGGTGCCCTCCTATAGAGTTTCTCATGTATTCCCATTTGTGAATACTTATCCATATGGTTTCCCATCAGTGCTGGCATTAAGTTATTTCTGAAGGAAAAAATATGATTTCTGGCTTATTTTCTCTTAGGAAGGGAGAATGTTGCTGAATATAACTTATATCTGCCCATACATTCTGGCCAAACGAAAGTGATAGTGGAAATTCTAAGTCAACAACATAGGACAGTTAACAATTGACATAAGCAGACCTCGTAGAAAAAGAGTTTTGTAAATACATTAATTTTTAGTTCTACAAGAAATAGTATTGCATTAAATTGCTTATTTAGTTCAAGCTATGGCTTATTGCATAGGGCAGTGATGGCGAAGCTTTTAGAGACCGAGTGCCCAAACTGCAATCCAAAACCCACTTATGTGTCATCGGGTGCCAGGTGGGTGTGGCCCACTGGGTGGGCGTGGCTTTGATGATAATGGCAGACTGGGTGGTACTAAAAAGTTCAATCAATCAATTCCAACTTTGCGAGATCTTTTTTTTCCCTCTAGAAGTTGAAATTGATTAATTGAACCTTTTTTTTTTTTTGGGACACGGCTCTGGAGGCCTAAAGCGAAAACGTTTTATAAAACCCACCTGAAGGCCTAGGACTGGGGCGATGGTGTACATGCCCACAGAGAGGGCTCTGCATGCCACCTGTGGCACAAGTGCCATAGGTTCGCCACCATGGGCATAGGGTCACTAATTTCTATCTTAATTTACAGTACGTAGCATGGATGTAATGGCCTATTCATATTGTGACACTGCTGTCAGTATTAGCAAGTCTACCTATAAACTAATTTTAAAATTATTGTATGATCAGGCCCTTTAAAGAGACTATTACTGATACAGGCTAAGCATTAGCCCTGAATTTTATTCAAAATTCTCAGATTTCCTTCAGAGTTTATAACATGCACTATTTGTAACAGGCCTTCCATGTTTACAGTTCTGGCCTCTGGAAGACAGCATCTATCATATATCATTCCTATTGAAAATTGTTTATTAAGATATCCACAGAATGCTTCTGTAATTCACTTTGACCTTCTGCTATTGGCTTGGCACACTGAGCAGACTCCTGGCACTGCCTTTCCTTTCAAATAAAAACGCATCATACTATAGAAGTTTCTTTTGTTCTGCCAAATTGGGGGAAGACCTATTCATATAACAGACCATATAGAAATATACTACAAATACCAGGCACTGAAATTGAGGATTTTTCTTTGCATTAAATGTTACTTTGCATATGTTTAATGATATTTTGATAATTTTATCAAATGTATTATTATCAGATGCAAGCCATTTGATACGCAAGAAATGCAAGCCAAGAGTTAAAATAGCCTGCAATTTCTAAAGTCAGATGGTAACCTCTTTCTAATGGGCACCTCTCTCCAAACCATTAAGAGTTTTGTTCATCTTTCTTTTGAGGCTGAAGTTCAGTTCCAGAAAGGGGTTACCAAAAAAACCCAAACAAACCAGAGCAGAAATGGTCAGAACTCTGAGGAGCTTGGAGAATCTTGAAGTAATGTTGTCTTTTCTTGTCTTTACCTAAAAACAAATCTGAATTATGGCTTCTTGGTATTTGAAACACTGAATCTAAAGCAAATATATGATTTATCACCGGCATGAGGGACATTGTGATTCCCATCCAGTTACGTTATCTGCCCTAAGAGGGGTCATATAGTAGATCCTGTTCTTTGCTCAACATTTTTGCATAAATGTTGTGACAAGCTGATTCTGCATGATTGGTTGGCATGTAAAACTTGTTCTGCAAGGTGTTAATAACTTACTATTTCTCTGCTACCTCCAATATATTAAAAGCAAAGTGGAATAATTACACTTATAATATACGCCTTCAGTTTGTACTCATTGTAGAAATCCTGGCAATATTAATAGAAAAATTAGTATGTGGAATGAGAGCTCTGTTCCCCAAAGCTATTTTAGTATTAAATCTTTTAATCTCTTGTTTAGCAGGTTGAAGTGATGTGAGTTAAGGAGGAAAATACCATTGAGACAAAATTGCATGTTTGTGTTTGGAGTGTGTCTTCAGAAATCTCAGCCTTTATCTTTGTTGGATGTGTGACTGTTAATTTTGCCACATCGTGTAAGGTGACTAATTTCTTCTGCCACTCCTAATACTATTAGTGGCAAAAAAGAGGTAATTCCAAGTATTTGGGAAAGTTAGATCAAATGTTGAAAAATGAGGAGTTGAAAATGCAATGCAAATATACACTGGCAACCTTATCGACATTATTGTATCTACTTTTACAGGAGAACTTAACATCAAAATATAAAATGGATTTCTAACAATAGTACAAGTCCCTGCTATTAAATTTGGTTCAGAATATCCGTCATACTTTTTCCCCAAAGAACAAAAAACAAGGCTTTAAAAAAGTAGAATTAAAAATAAAATAAACCAATGATAATAATCAATAATAAAAAGTTAAATCCCTACAGTTCTTTTTTAAACCCAAATTTATTGCCTCAATAATGTTAATTTAATAATTTCTAACTCGGCTCCCAGGGAGAAGCATTTTAAGGTACTTGCTCTTTTGGGATGGAGCGAAGCACTAGGAAGTCAGAGCACTTTCAAGCATTAACTTGGACCAAGTATTCAAGCTATGGTAGTTTTGCTTCCTCATAAGAGGTAGAAGATTTTGCTTAAGGTTCAACAGACTGTATAAGAACCCAAGAAAGTGATGTTTGGCCTGCAGATCTGAGCTTCCCACAACTTGTAACTTAATATATAATATTGTACTATTTGATAGATTCATGAAATTTATGTGATCATTCTATTTATTTTTTTTTAAGCTGGATTGTAAAAGATGAAAGCCTTTCCAAGGCAACATATAAAGGTAGTCTGTGACTTACAACCATTCATTTAGTGGTTGTTTCAAGTTACAAACAGCACTGAAAAAAATGATTTACAATTTTTCACATTTATGGCCATTGTAGAATCCCAATGATCACATGATCAAAATGCGGTTGCTTGACAGGGTTCATATTTATGATGGCTACAGTGTCTTGGATTCATATGATCACATTTTGCAAACTTCTGACATGAAGAGTCAATAGGGAAATCAGATTCACTAACAACTATGTTACTAACTTAAGAACTGCAGTGATACATTTAACAACTGTGTAAAATTGGGCAAAATTCCCTTAACAACAGACATTTTGGGCTCAGTTGTGGTTGTAAGTCAAGTACTACCTATATAAAAGAGTCCCAGGCCCATCAGAAATAAGCAGTGCTCAACACCTTCTCTCAAGTAAGTGAACACAGGATTGCAACCTACAAAACGTAAATTTTTGTAAAAGGGTGCAATCTGAAAAATTGCTGGTATCTGAAAAATAAGAAAAAATAGAAAATAAATTTCTCATACTTGCTAATACACATTTATTCAGATAGAAAGGCGGTTGTCATAATACTAAAAAGAAATAGCAAACATAGGTAATAATTAAGATTGATCACATTGGACAGGAGGTATTCTGCACAAGTTACATTTTTGACGAGAGCAGTTTCTTTCATTATCACTGGCACTTTCAGCTTTCTGAATCAAGATATAGAAGTGGTTGTGGCCTAAATAAAAAGATATGGAGCCCAAATCAGCTCTGCCAACTTCTGAAGTTACTCAGTCCAAATATACATTTGTTTCATAATGGTTCATCAACATTATGCTTTTTTCACTATCCCTGTTGTTCATTAATACAATCATTGTTATTATCATTATTTTTCCTACAAAGTTAATTCAGTTATGCCTTAGAAAAGCTTTCTTTGTGTCAGCCTGACAGTTACAGTTCTGTTTTTTTTCAAACTGCAGTGTGCTGTGTCTGGCAGCCATAGAGATTGCAGCCTCCAAGAACCAGAGTGTCACTGGAGGATATTCATCTGTCTTTTCCAGACGGTAAGGCACAGGAAGAAGAGAGCAAAGCATCACTTTTGATTGTGTGTTGCAAACATCTTTCCTAGCAAATGGAGGACAAAAATTGGGTTTATAAACTATGGAGGCTTGCAAAGTCTGTAGCTCCATTGGGAAGACACACATTTATCTTGGCAGTTTGTTGTTAGAACTAAGATATAGTTCTAGCTGGGAAGGATTTGGGAAACTGAGGAAGCCTAATGGACACGTGGACTGATTTTCGACAGAAAATCTGCATGAATTTGCACAATGGCTCCAGTTTCTGCCTAAAGGATAGATTTTTCTTGAAAAGGTTTGCATAGTCAGTAACCGGGCATGGTTGGGGGAGATCCAGGGGGTCTCTAGAAGGAGGCTCGTCCTGCGGGGTGTGGCAAGGCAGGGGGCAGGGTAGGGGTGCCATTTCCATTCAGCATTTCTTGCAGACGTCTCATGATCCAAACTAGGTAACATCAGCAGTGCCAGAAGAGAATGGGGTTTGTGGAGTGGAGGAGAAGAGGAGGAGGAGGGCGGTTGTGGGTTCCTTGGACCTCTCTGAGCTTTGTGGTTTTCTTGTAGATGTCTCATGACCCAAATTAGGTAATAATAATAACAATAACAACAACAATAATAATAGTAATAATAAAGTTGGGACCTTGGAGGTCATCTAGTCCAACCACCTGCTCAGGCAGGAAACCCTATACCAGTGATGGCAAACCTTTTAGAGACTGAGTGCCCAAACTGCAACCCAAAACCCACTTAGGTATCGCTGGGTGCCGGGTGGGCATGGCTGCGGTGGTAACAGCAGACTGGGTGGGATTAAAAAGTTCAATCAGTCAATTCCAACTTTGCGAGATCTTTTTTTTCCCCGCGAGAAGTTGAAACTGATTGATTGATAGAACCCGGTGGTGGAGGCCTAAAACAAAAAGGTTTTATAAAACCCAGCTGAAGGCCTAGGACTGGGGCGACGGTGCGTGCCCACAGAGAGGGCTCTGCGTGCCACCTGTGGCATGCATGGCATAGGTTCGCCACCATGGCCCTATACTATTTTGGACAAATGGCTGTCCAGTCTCTTCTTAAAAACTTCCAGTGTTGGAGCATTCACCACTTCTGGAGGTAGGTTGTTCCACTGGTTAATTGTTCTAACTGTCAGGAAGTTTCTCCTTACTTCTAGGTTGCTTCTCTCCTTGATTAGTTTCCATCCGTTGCTTCTTGTCCTGCCTTCAGGTGCTTTGGAAATAGCTTGACTCCCTCTTCTTTGTGGCAGCCCCTGAGATATTGGAACACTGCTATCATGTCCCCCCTTGTCCTTCTCTTCATTAAACTAGACATACCCAATTCCAGCAACCGTTCCTTATATGTTTTAGCCTCCAGTCCCCTAATCATCTTTGTTGCTCTTCTCTGTACTCTTTCTAGAGTCTCAACATCTTTTTTACATCGTGGTGACCAAAACTGGATGCAGTATTCCAAGTGTGGCCTTACCAAGGTATTTTAAAGTGGTATTAATACTTCACGTAATCTTGATTCTATCCCTCTGTTAATGCAGCCCAGCATTGTGTTGGCTTTTTTGGCAGCTGCAGCACACTGCTGGTTCATATTTAAGTGATTGTCCACTAGGACTCCGAGATCCCTCTCACAGTTACTACTATTGAGCAAAGTACCCCCTATACTATACCTGTACATTTGGTTTTTCTTGCCTAAATATAGAACCTTACTTTTTTCACCATTGAATTTCATTTTGTTAGATAGCGCCCAGTGTTAAAGTCTGTCCAGATCCTCCTGTATCTTAAGCCTGTCTTCTGGAATGTTGGTTATTCCTGCCAGCTTGGTGTTGTCTGCAAATTTGATGATTTCCCCATCTATCCCCTCGTCCAAATCGTTGATGAAAATGTTGAAGAGCACTGGGCCCAGAACAGAGCCCTGGGGCACCCCACTACACACTTCCCTCCATGTAGATGCGGTTCCATTGAGGACCACATGCTGAGTACGGCCGGTCAGCCAGCTATGAATCCATTTGGTGATGATGCTGTCTGTTGTGTCCTGAGCCTGCAAAGGCAGGCTCGGGACGTTGCAACAGTCCCGGGCAGTTGCAAGCTGCCCGGGACCAGACTGGCTGACGCCTGCTTCGCACACATGTGCGAGGAGCAGAGCACGCCAAATGTTGCCATTTGGTCCGGGGAATGTTCTTAAGAGAGGCAGAGAGGCCTGCGTGCCTCAGAGCTGAAACGGAGCTGAAGGAACAACAATAAAAGCTTCTTAACTCTACGAGATGATCTGTGATTTATTGCCATTAAGCTGAGGACTCAACAACTGGCGACGAAGGTGGGATTCCTTACAAGCAATTAAAAGAATTGTAAGCTTACCCAGGAGTCCGGAGAACAGCTAGGAAGACGGCGTTAAATTCAGCACCTGCCTGCCAATACAGCGTCGTTGGAGGTAAGCTGGCTGATCGACCCTTTCCTTACAGAAGAGAAAATGGCAAAGATAGGGAAGCTTTCTGAATTTGATGTCAAGCACCCAGAAAGATGGGAGTCTTATGTGGCCAGAGGTGAAAACTATTTGAAAGTAAACCAAGTAAGAGAAGATGGCTTAAAGGCAGCTACTTTGCTCTGTGTTTATGGTCAAGATGCATTTGAAATTGCTGAAAACTTAGCAGACCCTGCGCCTCTTGAATCTGTTACCTACACAGATTTAAAAAAATTACTAAAAGAACATTTTTCAGCCCAAGTTGTCTGTTATTGCATGGAGACATACCTTTGAACAGAGGGATCAACGGGCTGGTGAATCAGCTAAAGAATACATTGCAGCCTTGAGAAGAGCAGCTAAGCCTTGTGAGTTTAAAGACTTAGAAGAAAGGCTGAGAGACAGATTTGTATGTGGGCTTAGAAACAGAGACTTGCAGCAGAGACTTTTTGCAAAGGAAGACATATCGTTCCAAGATGCCTTGAGAGAGGTTACTGCAGAAGAGGCAGCAGGTGGGGCAATCAAGAATATGAAGCCTATCAGAAGTACTCCAGAAGCTGTTTCCGTGTACCACAAGGGAGTCCAGGAGAGCTCGGAAGAGGTTCCTGAAGGTGGATCATCTCTACCCAGCCAAAGAAAGGAAGCAGAAGGAAGGCAAAGAAAAGTCTTCAGCTGTACCCAAGTGCTTTAGGTGTGGAGGTCGCCACATGAGGACCGACTGCAGATTCCGTTCTGCAATCTGTAGAGCATGTGGAAAGCAAGGCCACATAGCAGCTGTGTGTCTGGGCTGTCAGAAGGTACAACCCCGAGAAGAATTGCACCTGAAAGGTACCAGGGTCCCCAGCCAAAACAGGGTGGGTTTCTGTGCTTCACGAAGAAGCATTTATAGGACAGGCACACACAAGCCACTCAAAAAGAAACTGTCACTTAAAGTGAAGTTGCAAGGAGTTCCATTGGTCATGGAACTAGACACTGGGTCTGCACTTTCAATTATTTCCATTCACACATTCAGAAAGATTTGCTCTAGCAGTGGGTTCCAGGCCAAGCTTAGGCCATCCAATATAGTTCTAACAGACTTTCAAAACTCCAAAGTGTGTGTTAAGGGGGAGGCCACCCTTAATGTACAATATAAGGATTTTGAAGGTCCATTAGATGTATTGATAGTGGGGGGTGAGCGCACGAGTCTCATAAGACTCGATTGGTTTGAGGCCTTGGGAATACAAGGGCTCAATAGCTTGCAAACAGTAGGTCTACAAGAAGTCTGCAAAGAATTTGCAGATGTCTTCAGCCCACAGCTGGGTACATACAAAGGGCCCCCAGTTTCCTTAAAATTGGACCCCACTGTCACTCCTATCAGAGTAAAAGCAAGGAGAGTATCTTTTGCTTTAAAAGGAAAAATTGATGCTGAATTGGACAAATTGATTCAGCAAGGAGTCTTAGAACCTGTTGACTCCAGTCCTTGGGAAACTCCCATAGTCACGCCTCTTAAGGCTAATGGGGACATTCGCATCTGTGCAGATTACAAATGCACCCTAAATAAGGCATTGCAACAACATGCCTATCCTGTACCTGTAGTCAGCCATATTCTGGCTTCCCTCAAGGGGGGGCGTGTTTTTGCAAAGCTAGATTTAGCACAGGCTTATCAACAGTTACCTGTTGATGAAGCTGCTGCTGTAGCACAAGCCATTGTAACACACAGGGGGGCATTCAAAGTCAAAAGACTACAATTTGGAGTAAATGTGGCTCCTGGAATTTTCCAAAGTGTAATGGAAAATACCTTGAGGGGTATACCAGGGGTTTGCCCCTACTTTGATCATGTCTTAATTGCTGGACATTCCACTCAAAATTTAGCTGAGAGATTGAGGGCTGTCCTGCTGCGGTTCTGGAAAACAGGCCTCAAGCTTAAAAAAGACAAATGTAAAATTAGGGTGCCTTCTACAGATTTTCTGGGATTCAAAATTGATGCCAATGGGATTCATCCTGCTGAGTCCAAATTAAAAGCTATCATGCAAGCTCCTAGGCCTAAGTCCAAAGCTGAACTACAAGCTTTTCTGGCCTCTTGAATTTCTATAATTCATTCATTCCTAACAAGGCTAATGTAGCTGAACCACTTCATAGGCTTCTGGACAAACAGGCAGAGTGGCAGTGATCACAAGCACATGAAGCAAGCTTCAATGAGGTTAAGTCTTTACTCACATCCAATAATGTGCTTGCACATTTTAATGAAACTCTCCCTGTGTGCATCGCTTGTGATGCCTCCCCTTATGGGGTGGGAGCAGTACTTAGCCACCTTAGACGGATGGAACTCAGGTTCCTGTTGCGTATTACTCCAGAACCTTGTCTTCTGCTGAGCGAAACTACGCCCAGATAGACAGGGAGGCCTTAGCTGTTGTTGCTGGAATTAAAAAATTCCATGATTGTTTATATGGCAGACATTTCACGGTCTACACTGACCATAAGCCTTTGTTGGGGTTGTTTACTACAAACAAACAAATCCCCCATATCAGCTCACCCAGGATGCTGAGATGGTTAATCTTTCTGTCAGC